GAACTAAACTAAGAGGTTTTCGTTCTTTGCAGGTTTTGTATAATTGTGTACATGTGTATAATTGTGTACACTTGTATACTTGTGTGTATGTGTATACAAGTGTCGTGTAACTCACCAGTCTGCGTGAAGGGCGGGTCGCTGTACGCGGGCTGGGGGTCCGGAGCGCCGGGGTAGGCGGGGAAGCTGCCCGGGCTGCCGATAGCGCCCTCCACCTCGTACGCGGGCGCGAACGCCGCGTCAGCGCCCATACGGAACCGTTGCAGAGCGAATAATGCGCATGCCACCTGGAAATGTACACAATTGATTGGTTTTCTGTATACATGACTGTTTCCCAAAGTAGTGGACTGCTTGGAGGATCTCTTGGGATACACGAATGTCCCAAAAGGAGTGTAAGATGGCATAAAAAGTGGTGATTTTCTAAATTTTAAAAAGTCTACGAAACAAACAGTTTAGTTATCTCTAGCCTATATTTCTATATTATAATCGATTTAAGCATAGAAATAAAAAAAAAAATGTCACTAGAAGAATGCGTAGAAGAATTCGGTTAACCAACTTTTTTCGACAAGGTTTTTGTAGGAAAAAAACTGTGATATGAACGAAATAGATTTTTTTAATTATTTGTAACACACTGGACTCTAATGGCAACACTGTTCTAATAGTAACACTGTCTGTAAAATCTTACCCAAGCGAATATAGAGAAGAAGCAGAAAGCTATGGCGCCTTGCATGTTATTGGCGGTGCCCACCGGTGGGTTGTCGGTCTTTCCCCAAGCATTGGACAGGTAGCAAAAGCCCACGAAGTACAGGAACGCCCAGAACGCTGAAATAGTTAAGACAAAATAACCATTTAAACGGATTTTTCTAAAATGGAAGTACTAGTATTATTTTTAACTTTTCTGAAAATTAATAAAAAATAATACTAGTTTTAAATGTACTAAATATTAAGAGAAAAACCTTACTGGCAATTAAGAAATCCATATACATTTTACTAGTATTATAGATGTAGTATTAGAGTTGGTGGTCGAAACTGCTAAACGGATCTTGTAGAGCAGTCTTGAAGAGTACATGGGCTACTAACTTTTGTACTCACGCGGACGAAATCACGGGCGAAAGCTTGTAGTACGGTAATTGTATCTAGCAAGGGCCCACAACTAATAAAAGACCATAATTTCGAACATAACTCAAAACAAGAAAGACAATGAAGAGTTACAGTCGGCTTCCGTCGCCGGATTATTGCTTAAAAATAACCTCACGGCTAACGATTACGTAAGAATAAGGTGTGATGTGCAACCCTTGTTAACATTCTTAGATTACCGAATTAAAAGAAAATAATATATTTAATAAACATTTCAACCGATATATGCGATCTTATCTATATTTTATATATATAAAAAAATTGGAGTGTCTGTTTGGAGTATCAAAAAAATCCAGATTTCGAAAACATGATGTATTTGCATTGCTGGTAACGAAAATCGCATTATTATTTTTTTGTCTGTCTGTCCGCAAGCCGCGCTTGTTCCGGGTAATCTCCGAAACGGCTGGGCCGATTTCGTCCGGACTTTCACTGAAGGGTTAATGTCGTAGATGGGCATATTATAAGGTACTTGTTTATCTTATTGTGTGGAGGAAGTCACGGGCAACAGCTAAATAAACATTAAAAATCTCATAAGTCAAAACCAATTATCTTACTTAATATTATAAATGCGAAAGTTTAGATGGATGGATGTTTGTTAGAGTTTGTTGACTAAACGGCTGAACGGATCTCGATGAAATTTGGCATAGATGTAGTGGATAGTCTGGAAAGACACACAGGCTATTTACTTTTGTATTTTGAAACTCCAAGCGGACGGAGTCGCGGGCAAAAGCTAGTATTCTATTACATTCAAAACTAAGATTCATCTCTATTGTTACTTTGTAAATCACTATCAGAAATAACCTGTAACAGCTGCAATAAAGATAAAAATGTAATAAAAGGTACAATAGATTTATAGTGTTGGCATTTGTCAAGATACAATAAACATTTTATTACATACATTGGAGTACGGTACTTATGCCCGGTCTCCGATACATTATTAAAAGGTTAATGGGTCACCATGTTAATATAAGCACAAAGAATCCAATATAGATAAATTAAGATTTAATTTTACATCTATTTAGAAACCTTCAATGTTAGTTATGTATGTAAAGAATTCTTGAAAATATTTTATTAATAAATAGCAAATTTACAAATCACATTATATATATTTTATAGACATAATAATGTCTATAAAACATATTAATAAATAATACCATGCAAAAAACAAACAAAAATGGTGGATTAACAATATTTAGAAGTCCTTTGATAGCAATACAAAAATTATCTTACTGTATTTAACAATTAAAAAACTTTCAATCCATCCAAAACAAAAGTAACATCTCACTAACATTATAAACACGAAATGTTGATGGATGGATGTTTGTTAGATTCTGTAGCCTAAACTGTTGTAACAATCTTTATGAAATTTGGCATAGACTGGAAGGACATAGACATAGGCTACTTGCTATTATTTTTAAAAAATTCATGCACACAAAGTTGTGGGCGAAAGCTTATTTATTAATAATTTTTAAGACTTCTAAAAGTGACTATTACTTAAGATATTGTTACATTTTAAAACATTTCTGTATTCAGCCATTACTCTATAATTGTAAATTAAAATATGGTAAGAAAGCCTCTATCTTACTACACAAATACTACAAATACAAATACAAATATTTTATTGGTAATCGAATTACAAGTCATAATTTTTTAAAAAAATAAAAAACTTTACATATATTAAAAATGACTGAATAAAAATTGGGTACATAAATGGTGTACAACTTAATATAACCTACCTGAGAAACCCAAGTCAGCAAGCACATAGTGTTTCCTAGTTTTCACAGATGACATCTGTTCGAACAGATATTCTCCCACTATAAAGGCAACAGATGCTACAAACGCTATCACCGAAATCCCCACACCATAGTTGCATGCGTTAGTATCATTATTGTAGACGCAGTACTCCTTGCCATCTTCTTTGTTGACATACCAGCCCTTAGCTGATATGCATCCCATCACAATTACGCTGAAGAGCTGAGGAATAAATTATGAAATCCTCATTCAGTTGCGAGAAAAAGGGATAAGTGGAGAGCAACATTTTGATTTAAGTACAAGAAGTGTAAGTTTAAGAAGTTTACTTTAGATGTAGGAATTAGAAATTACGCTTGCTGTTAATTCTACAATAAATTAGTAATGGTAGAAATTAAATATTTGCTTATGGCAACATTAATAAGAGTAAAGTAACATGAAAACTTTTCATTTTATTTATTGTATTACATACTTTATCTTACAAAGGATTTTTAGTAATAAACTTTGTTGTTAGGTCATCATTCTGGAACTGAACATAAAGTTATTGATAAAATATTATTATAAACAAACCTAGAAAATTACATAAATGTAGCTTGTATGATGTACATTGAAACATGTGCAAAATGTTCCTTAAAAAGTAGCTTCTGTTAATCTCAAATTAAACAAAGATATGTTCATATCTTGTGCAAACAATTAGTGCAAAATGAAGTCATGGCTTCTTTATTAAACAGTCTTATCACATATGCAAATTATGTACTTTGATATGTATGTTTAAATGTACATTTATTGATGTGAAGATTATATCATATTAAAAATATAACTACCAAATATGTATTCAAGGTGTTACCTAACTGCTCACCTATATAATGTGGGAGTGTGACCTACTTTAAAAAATTCGAAAATCAAATGTTTTTTAAGATTTTTCACCTTTTATATTAATGAAATTTACAGTATTATTTTACTTTAAAAAATCAAATTGGATAATTGGATTGATTATTGCTAGATGCAAATGTTTTCTTTTTTTTCTAACGCTGTCGTAATATGCAATGAAATATAAATTTACGTTAATTGCAGACTTGAAGAATACCTATTATGCATTATGCATCACTCAAGGTCAATCATGTGATTGAAAATGAACAATTGACTCCATCTATCTCAATGGATATGGTAAATGTAAATTTTAAATAATATATTGGATTATAATACGAACTGTGTAAGAAATCAATACAATAAATTTATAAATATATCGTAGTTTGATTTGCATGGTTCAAGTATTCGGCAGAGCGAGTACGGATGCGCAATTTTTCTTAAATAATGCATTTCAGATGATAATGATTTTGAAAACACTTACCCAGCATACCGCCCTGACTATCACCGGAGGTCGCTGGATGAAAGCTTGAGGATCGAAAGCTCCGCCCGCTTTTCCACCGCCATAAGCACCAGCAGCTTCCATTTTTACACTATGACGATTACGATTCAATGACTACACTGCTACACCTTGCCCATCAATAAACTCTGACCTCCGCAAACTCCGAATCTACCCAATTTATGTTATCGATCGCTCGCGCAAGGCAACTTGAAATTCGCAACAACGATGACAATTGGCACAGACTAAAAATCGCAATCATATTGGCAGTGTTACCAACGTCACAGAATTTAGTAGCGATTTGTCTATGATATGCAGATTCCTACCTATTTTTACTAAAAGCCAGTTCCAGTATTATGCAATTTTTTACTTTTTGAGAATGACTTTTATTTTATCGGTAAAGTAATTAAGGATTATAGTAAAAACAGAAAGTATTTGCCTTCCTGATAAGTTTATATTCTTTAATTCTATAACAATATTGATCATTTTTATTAAATAGTAAATTTCTGTTCGTCTCAAGTATCATTATGTGGCTATGTATTTCAGGCAATGTATTTCGTTTCATCATTATTTTTAATATCTGATAAGATAAGACAATGGTTAATTGTCTTATGTTTACATTGCAAACTATTGATTGAGATTACTTTATGCAGTTTCTTTAAGGATTTCTAAAGAGGTAATTATCAAAGGAAGTTAGAAGAAGAAGAAGTTATTAATGTCAAAGGAAGTAAGGATAAATAAATAAGAATCATTTCAAATATTACAAATATTTTATTCAAATAAGAACCGAACTAAAATAAGAGAATGTTAAGCAGCCATTAATATATTGTCGCAAAAAATTAAAATAAAACTTCAAGTTCACCGCTCTCCCTAGCCGCCACTCGAAAAGAAAATTTTGACTAGTTCAGAACCGAAGTAAACATATTCTTAAAAAGACCTCTTTATTGCAACGTTGTAAAACATACTTCGCCGTATTCATGTTTAGCACCTTCCTATTCTATCGACATTAAAAAAATCTTTATTAATAAGAGTGACGGCACAATTAATGTTTTAAACAGTAGTTATACAAAATTACTAAATACGAAATGTTAGGTATCAAAGGAGACTGTATAGAAACATTTATCTCTATTACAGATATTTACAGTACAAAGCTTAAAATATTCCGTAAGTACTCTACATTATACCGTTATTAAAATGTAGGTACATTTTATACTAATGTTGCAGACTATTTGTGTGTATTATTGGAGTTATTGTACTTTGTATTAACAATGGCAATTTTAAACGTTCGGTAACGACGTTAACTAAAAACTGAACATAATTTTCTATTGAAACTTATTATAACTGCTGGTAGAAAAATATTTTATGGCCACTGGATATCACATACTATGCTGACATGCGAAAGGAGACGAAAAATGGTCATCTAATTATAGCAATAATGTGTAAACAATGTAACGAAAATATTTAAAAGTTTTATGCTTAAACAAATTATTTTGCATAACTAAAATCCGTGATACAAATAGCTTGTACATTGTGAGAGTATATTAAAAGGAAAATGTTTTATACAGATAAGAAATTTTAAATAGAGACAAGCAATTTATGTTTAATTTAAGTGAGATGGCAATGGGCATGTCCTTAAGTAATATAAGAAGGTCCATTTACAACGTCTATGATGAGGTCTATATATCTATTTCATATCAAATGACTATAATACATTTATTGAAGTCGCTATTTTAATCTATATCTAGTACTAATCATTTTGTATAAATTCTAACTAGTCCATTCTACATGTAACCTAACATTTTATTGTACATGGAAAACTAGCTACTGGATATATTTTATCTATGACATAATTTAAGTAAAACTTTATTTACAAAAATAGCCATTCTCATATATTACGGATCCTTACAAAATCTAACATTTCATAACCCCCAAATGAAATTAAAACAATACATTATTTAAAAGTTAAATAAGGAACTAATTAGTATTAAATAAATGTCAACAAAAATGTTATTAACGATTAGGTACACTACTTGTTTCATATTAAATCAAAACAAACGTTTTAACGTTTTCCAAGTTTAAAATGTAATAAATTGTTTGTCAAAATTATATGTCAAAATATGTATTTTGTATCATATGTCAAAATAATACCATAGACAAATCCGAATTGCAATGTTGGCAATATTGTAAGTTGTTTTCTTAAAATGTCAAATCGGCTTCTGGTAAATTAAAAGTAGACAACAATCGAAGTAGGCAAGTAAAGAGCATTTAATATTTTTTGACAAACTACTACATTGTATTTGTTATTTAAAAAAACAAGTATTTCTTCGTCTATATAACTACAGTCAACTCTACAGTATGAACCCTGCATCGAGAAGCATCATTGACAATATGCGATCATAGAAAATGTAAGTGTTGTTTCATGTCATGGATTAATGTTTTTGAATTTATTGTATGGCTTCATCATTATTAAAATTGTATACAGTCACAAAAATTGTCCAATTGTCACTTTTTAAAGTACGAAAAATAATAGATGGCAAATACTCTCACATCGATTGAAAATCATCAACCACAATTCACCGTACTAATAGTACTATTCTTTGGAATTTGTCGTTTTCGATACATGAATACTAAACTAAAATTTCAACTATTCGAGTTGGAAATGAAACATTAATTTGTTTTAATTTAAACACGAATCCATTAGCTTATTTTAGGAATCAGTCAGGCCTTGACGTTTCTCTTCTTCCAACATGGCGTCCAATTCGTCCGTGAGGTTGGCGAGCATGTTGCCGATGTCGTTGAGGACGTCGACGGGCTCCGTGCTCTTGCCCTCCTCCTTGTGGTCGGGCAGCGCGTGCGCGTGCGCGGGCGCCGGCTTCATGTCGGCGGCGGGGCGCGGCGGCAGCGCCGACAGCCCGATGCCGCCGCGCCCGTAGTCCACGGTGTGCGGCCGCCCGCCGATCTGGCCGCGGTTCTGTTTTATTGTACCCGCATTCTCGTTCGCGAACGGAATGCTGTCAGATTCGGTGCTCGAGCTTGACTGTAAAGAAATATACAATTTTATCATTTACAAACATTTTTCACAAAAAATCTTGTATTTTGAGTTCTTTATGGAGTTCAATAAATAGTATCGTGGAATAATTAAATAGTAATTACCTTAAAGCTAGCATCAGAGCCAGTCCTCATCTTGTCCTCTTCGTACCTGCGCGGCGGGGAGGAGGGCGCGGGCGGCGGCGGCAGCAGGCCCGTGCTGTCCAGCGACACGCTCAGCGAGTCCGAGCTGGGGTACGCGGGCAGGGACAGCGGCAGACTCTTCTCTGGATGGATCTCCACAGTAGTCTGTCCGAACCGCGTGAACGGCGCGTACTGAGAGCTCTGGCGCTTCGGCGGCTCGGGCGGGGGCTTCCTGGCCACGTGGGGACTCGCGCCGTACGCCACGCGCTGCAATCTAGCTGAATACGCGATCTCATCGTATGTGTAATCCGGCGATTTGTCTCTGTATGCGGGCGTGGCTTGTATCTTCGCCACGGGTCGAGGACGGACTAAACCCCTCGGACGCGGTAAAGTACCCCCTCCCTCGTACGAGCTGTCGTTGGTGGGGGTGATGTCGCCGTCGTCGTAGGAGCGCCTCCACTGGCCGCCGCCGTAGTAGAAGCCCGCTTCGGGAGAAAAAGTCGTATGTGAAGTCCTCTCGGAGGGATCTTCTAGACTCTCCAAGGATTTACCGCGAGGATGACGGATCTGTTGACACAACATTGTTCGATAAAATGTATTCTTTGGCATTTTTGCAATTTGTAGCCAAGAAATACACAGAATGCCCTAAAAATACTGTAAAAAAATTTTCGAGTAATTACATTATTAAATTTTAAAATACTCAGATTTCAAACTTTGTCATGCTTCATTAAAAATGCTCTGGTAAAATTTTTAGTCTTGTTTGTTGTTAGCATTTGTCAGTAAGTCCATGCTTTGAAAAGCTTTTATAGTTACTTAAAAGTAATAAATATACCATTAAAATATCTACCGTGCAGGCAAGTGTTTACTGCGAATTCGCAACTTCAAGTAATACATTTCAATACGTGTAACATCAAAATTCAGACATAAAACATCGATAGTAATGCGTTCTCGTGTACAAAAACAAATAAAAAGGGTGCACGTAAAAGCCGGGTGCTCGGGTGCAATGAGATCAAATTGACAAGACTTGTGCCAAAGGATGTTTGTTCATACCTGGATAGGAACCAAGTCTGTGGCACTCAGGGGCGTTGGTATGGCGTCAAAGTTTAGATCGGGGGGTTTATGGTAACTCCTCGCGTGCCTCTCCCACGGCTGGTAATGTAGCTCTCTCGGATATAAATCCTTTAGCCGATAATGTCCAATGTGCGGTTTGGTGTTTTTTGAAAAAAGAAAAGAAAACAAAACATTCACATGCTACTTCGGGCTAGTGATGAGGTGGATGCAACGACGGATGTGGAACGCTGACAGTTGCAACTCGGCGACCCTTTACTTATATTTATTACATTTACATCGCTGATTTTATACAAAACCAGTTTAAGAATAAACCCGCTATTATTAAGAAATCAACCGTTTTCTAATCTGTATCACAGAGTTGCTTCATCAACGACAGAAATGGCGACGGATATAGACTTCTAAAAGTCTAAGCGAAATGATAACGGATTTGAACCCATCGGGAAAATTTAATTTTGAAGATGTAAAACATGCGAACCATTTTCGCGCCAATTACGTCCTTGTAGACGTTATTTTCCCACAATGTGTCCATTATAAATGTTTGAGCAAATTAAACTCTTTAGCAAGTTGTGCTAGGTATCTTTTAAACACTGAACTAACAACTAAAGCCTAACATTGGCCTGGGGTACGCATACGAAAGTGTATTTTAAGTTCGGGAAAGTCAAGCTAATTAGAATATACTTTGTTACATAGTTAGACGCCGTTAGTAAAACAGAAACTATAGAATGTTATTTTCTAAAAGTTAAAAGAAACAAAACTGTTAAACTAAATTCGTTAAAAGAATTAATGAGAAATGACAGATGTTTTGGCGGTAAATCAAAATGGCTGATGAATGACGTGAGAAAAAAAATATAATGGAATGTTGTATTGGAGTGATGCTTTATTTTTATAGTCAAATAAAATCTATAGAACTACATTTTAAAATCAGTTTGGTGATAAAAATAAGGTTTGTCTATGGTCATTTCTGACAGGTATAAGGAGACTAATTTTAAAACATCACTACAAACAAGTGTGTCGCGAGGCGCGCACCGACCTGTCCCGGCAGCCGCGTGAAGTCGAGCGAGCCCTGGCTGCTGATGCTGCGCTTGCCGGCTCTGATGTCCTTCACTCTCTTGATGGCCAGGAGGATTTTCTTTTGATGACCCAGTCGAACTATACCCATATCTTCTAAATCCTGGAAACGATTACAAAAACTATAAACATACCATACTAATATTATAAAGAGTAAAAATTTGTATTTTTGTACGTATTGAAATAATTCAATAACTACTGGGTCGATTCATAAAAAAAATTTACCATTCAAACGTTACGTTACGTTATCGCTGAGTAACATTGGCTATATTTTCCAATTACATGTGGACGAAGTCGCGAGCAAAAGCTAGTCTATACTAATATTATAAAGCGGAAAGATTTGTATTTTTATATGTATTAAAACTCAAAAACTACTGGGTCATTTTCAAAATGTTTACACCATTAGAAAGCTACGTTATCTCTGAGTAACATAGGCTGTATTTTACTTTTTTTTTTATTTTACGTAAACAAAGTCTCTAGCAACTAGTGTAATATACTTTTTAATAAACATTAACATAGCGTCGCCTGTAGTTTCAATCAATTTACACAGATTATAAATGCTAGCACGTACCTCCCATGCGAGTTGTGTGACGTCATGCACGGTGCGGTAGCCCTGCGCCACCAGCGCCGGCCCGTACTCCTCCAGCCGGAGCAAGCGCAGCCACTCCTCTAACGAACCCTGGGGATAAGGAACAAAGTATAGTCACTCTTCCATAGGGAGGGGCATTCTGAGGTATTGCCCTTCAAAATTATACATACAGTGGTATTGTGAGCGGCTGAGGGAGACGGCGCGGAATAAGTGGCGTTGGCAGGGCCGCGACCCGTATATAAAGTCGTCGTCGATGTCTTGCAGCAAGTGCACGCGTTAACGATGTCCGAGCCGGCGAGGTCAACGACCTCGACAGTGTTAAAGTGCGCGAGTTGTAACATAGTGATTAATGAACTGTTAAGTTTTATACAGAATAAATGTGATGTTATGGATGAAGAAGGCATGACTCGTCTCTGTTTGACGGCATTTAAGCCAGAGGATATTTCTTCCGCTAAGAATTTATTGTACAATTCTATGAAAACCACAAAAAGAAAAGCAGCCCGTAAGGGAGATGGGAAGAGCCAGAGAGAATTGGAAGACATTATTAGCACTTTTAAAGATGTTGATCCTGAAGAGTTGCCGATCTTCGTGGCGCGGGATCTGCAGAGGCTGCCACCGGTAACGTTCGATCATATAGACGTTACTCGGCTACTTAAAGACCTGATTATTATGAAAAGCGAGATTGAGACGCTAAGAAACAGCGTTGTTGATAAAGAATCATTTTACAAACTGAAAAATGAAGTTAAAGAGATTGTTAGTACAAGAGATTTTGAGTGTTATAACTATATAAACACTAAACGAGGTCCGGCGAATACAGTGGATAGTTTTAACAGCTGTGATAGCGGTCCGATGGGCATAATTAATATACCTCGAGAGTCGCCGAAACCGGCGACGTCGCCAAATAAATGTAATAAAACGTTAGAAGCGAAAAATTTGAATTTAAACAGTAGTGCGAGTGCGAGCGCAAGTGCATCGCAACCGGTTTTGGTGCAGCGAGGGCGGGGGCCAGCGCGCGGGAGCGGGAGCGCGCGTGTGCACGACGGAGAGCGCTTGCCGTCCCTTACGCGCGCGCGCAATGATTCACTTTTTGTTCCTGTCGTCTCTGCATCAACACAACGCGTGGAGGCAGTCACCGAGGTTTCAAACCCCGAAACCGCGGTGCGCGCCTCACGTACACCCAAACCGACCATTGCTGAAGTGTTA